AAGAAAGAAAGAAAGAAAGAAAGAAAGAAAGAAAGAAAGAAAGAAAGGAAAAAAGAAAGAATCAACCTCCCATGGCTTCTTACTAACATCCTGACTTCTATGGAGATTCTAAGTGGAATACACATATCTGAAGATTCAAAACTAATACCCATAAATGAAAAAAAAACATGCAATGTTTGCCTTTCTGAGTCTGTGTTGCTCATAATTATCATTTCCAGTTCCATCCACTTAGCAGAAATTTTCCTAATTTTGTTTTCCTTAACAGCTCAATAATATTTAGTTGTATAAATGTACCATACCTCAGAGAGCTCTCAAAACATGAAATACAAAAGACTGAGCAACATATTTTAAATATCAACATTCCTAGCTATCAGAAAAATACAAATAAAAACCACTTTGATATTTTATTGTATCCCAATCAGATGGTTTAAGATTTAAACACACACACACAAAGTAAACCTCTGTTGATCGTCTGTGGAGCTCCTGTCTCCTCTAGGTCTTTCTCCCCTTCCATAAGATTCACTGCACTCTGCGAGTCTCAGCATCTCAGCATCTACTTCAATACCCTGATGGGTAGAGTCTTTCAGAGGCCCTCTGTGGAAGGTCCTGTCCTGTCCTGTCCCTGTCTTCTACTTCTGAGGTCTATCCGGTTTGTCTTTCTGAATGAGGATTAAGCATCTTCACTAGGGTCCTCCTTGTTGTTTAGCTTTGTCAGGACTATAGATTTTAGCATGTTTATTATATATTATATGGCTAATATCCACTTACTCATGAGTATATATACCACGTGTGTCTTTCTGTGTCTGGGTTACCTCACTCAGGATGATATTTTCTAGTTCCATCCATTTGCCTGCAAATTTCATGATTTCCTTGTTTTTAACTGCTGAGTAGTATTCCATTGTGTAAATGTACCACAATTTCTGTATCCATTCTTCAACTGAGGGACATCTAGGTTGTTTCCAGATTCTGGGTATTATGAATAAAGCTGCTATGAATATAGTTGAGTAAATATCCTTGTTGTATGGTTGAGCATCTTTCAGATATATGCCCAGGAGTGGTATAACTGATCTTGAGGTGGCACTATTCCTAATTTTCTGAGAAAATGCCAGATTCCCCTGGGTGTGTGTGTGTGTGTGTGTGTGTGTGTGTGTGTGTGTGTGTGTGTG